AAACCACTGCGTCCAGGTACAGCGTGGCTGGCAGCTGCGTGGGGGGAGAGTGGTGGTGATAGCAGTGGTGGTTGAGGTGGTGATGGTGGTTGTGCTCCCTGTTGTAAGAGGAGTGGTCTTGGTGGTGCTGGCACTGGAGGTAGGTGTGGTGGTCCCTGCACTTGTGGAAGAAATGGTGGTCGTTTCTTCTGTTGATGGGGGTGTGGTTTTGGTCGTGCTGGCACTGGTTGTAGGTGTTGTGGTCCCTGCAGTTGTTGATGCGATGGTGGTTGTACTTTCTGTTGGATGGACTGACGTCTTAGTGGTACTGGCACTGCTGGTAGGTGTTGATATTGTCGTTATTTCTTTTTCTTGTGGTTTGGTTCCTATATGTGTCGTTGTTGGTTTAATCTTTGTCTGTATTGGAACTGTTGTTGTTTCGGTAGGTGTGGACGTAGTTTGTTGTGTTTGTCTTGGTGGTGTTGTTGTTATTTCTGAACATGATACATAATTACAGCATAATAGTCTGATTTGGTAATTGTAGCATTTCTTATCTTCTTGGTCTTCGTTATTGCATTTTAATTCAGTGGTTTTATTGCACTGTATCTTTTGGTTAAGATAGTTTATTGTCTTATTTGACTGTTCCTGTACTCTGCATTCAATGCTGCTCATGTTATTACAAGTGCTTTTTCCTTTTCCTGTGACATTTTGAAATGTTTCTTCTTCATTTTCAAGCTCTGTCCCATCATACCATTCTGACCACTCACATACATACTTCACGCATACACTTTTTGCTGGTGTTGTGGTTGCCATTTCTGTATTTCAAAGGAAGAAATATAAGTTTTGTTTTCTTCTACTAAGGAAAATGTCATTAAAAAAATTATTCAACTTCCATGCATTTATTGCTATACATAATATTTGTACGTTAATATAGTATTTTAATGAATTTGCTTTGAATGGCTTGATTTTCACTTTTAATATAGATTTTCATCTCATCTCTATACTCCTTTTCTCATTTTTATTCTCATTACCACTATCCACTTACTATTGCGTAGCTACATAACTACACTAGTTTTAAAATATTTCTAAAAAGTAATGAGTTTCCTAATTATTTTAGTATTATATTATGGCATTCATTTCTAAATTTATTATAAAATTGGTAATATTTAGTTTATTTTTATAATATATTATGGAATACATATTAATATTTCTTATTTTAATGAGATTTCTGTTTAGTATGTTAGCATTATGAAAAATGAGCATATGAAGCATATACCCATTCCATCGCATTAATGTTATAACCACTTAATAAAAGACTTAAATTTGATTGGACAGTTCTTGCTATAGTATTCTGTAATTGTTCAGAAATATTTCTTAATTTCTCTCAATTACATGGTCAGTATGAGTTCACTGCTGGAATAATGCAGATGTTCAGGCTATTAAAGATGATCAGATTGGAAAGATCCCAAAAAATGGTTTAAAATAATTTAAGCATTCCCTCAAAATTATTTTATCTTCTGTTTATGCTAATGTGGTCAGTAGTTTTTAAAATGTCAGTAATTGTCTTTTGTGTTGGTCTAGAATTGCTGTTTTTTATTTGCAGGGAAGTGAGATTCTGAAAAGAGCAAAGACAAGTTTCATCATTTTTCCACTGGGGGAAAAAAAAAAAACAACTCAGTAAAATAGTGGAGACTGACTTTGTGAGAATGCTGTATTTTCTACGTTTATTCATTTATTTATTTATTTTTAAGCATCTGAAGTTGCCAATTGAGTTGGTTGCTTCAGAAGTCAAGAGTTTCAAATAAAAGTATGTGCTAATGGCTCATCCCCTTCAGGCAATTTTCAATCCCTTTTAGAGATTTTTCAGTTATTTTGAAAAGTATTCATGCATACCTGTTGTAGGTTGACTGGTAGAAAATGTAAACACGGTACTTGGGGTTGTGATTCCACATTCAAATATATTTCTGTTTATTGTTCCGTTGACATCACATGTTGCACGGAAACACCATCCACTTCCATCTGTGGTGTTGTAGATGAGTTCATTATATTTATAGGTGTTGTTTTCATATACGCAGTTACATGCTGTAATTGATAAGATTATTGTCGGTCACCTATGAAAAGATAGTATCCTGTATCTAATTTTTTTAACAGTGCTTCTTGGCTGTCTTACCTTTATCATCAAACTTGCACTGTAAACCTTCTGATGTGCACTCGCTAAAATAAAAAGTATAAAATAAACTTATTTTATTATAAGCTAATTGTACTGCTATCATCTTTCTGCCAGCTTCTAGCATCAAGAAAGAGAAATAGATAATTGTGAATGACAACTTAGTTGATTTATATAATAGCATTCAGATGGGCATGTTGCCTCAATTCCAGCTGAATAATAATTGCTTGTTCCACATTACTAAGGCCCTTTTTGCACTGCAGAGCTATCAACATACAGCCTCAATAAAAGCAGAACTTAATTTTTTCTTTCCTGTAGTGTGGATCATTGTCAGAACTGACTGCATCATGGAAGATCCACCCCTTACCCCTTTCATTCTGTTAACATCAATTCATGTGTTTACTCCTTGAGCACCCAGTTTATGTTGATCTTTTTTTGTTTTTGTTTTTGTTTTTTTTGGCCATGGTTTTCCTAAGCCTTTCTTTACATTAAACCCAAGCTTATACATAAAGCAAAACTAAAGATTATGCAAAGTTACAAGTGCAAGTCTTTAGGAAAGCTATGTATAATTTTCCTTGCACTTGTTTTTATACTAAAAAAAAAAGAAACATGTTAAGAAGGGAGAGTCTAAGTACTACAAGCATACTCCAAGAATGTAATAAAATCCTTGAAAGTAGACCCCTTAGTAGATATATATACTTCTGGAATGATATTTTTTCCCGCCATAGCAATAGAAAATAGAGGAAGCTTAGTCTCAAAGTACTTACTGTTTTCGTTGTATCATTGTGCTGAGGATTTACAAAATAATTATGATCAAATTCAACAGAACAAAAAGTGTAATAGACCCTAATAGTACTAAATAGTAAGAAAGCTGGTATTGAGTGGAAAGGTCAGGCAGCATAAAAATCACTGTGTCATGAAACAGGAACATGCAATTTCCCATTGTTGGTTTAGTCAGTTTTCCTTGTACACGATTAGACTGGTGTGTTAAGCCTTACCATAACTGACATTTATCCCGCATATATATCTTTCCATCTTCATTATCATAACAGTCACAGAGACTGACACATTTCATCTGATCCTCATGAAAATATGGCTTGTCTGATGGGCAGTTGGGGTAGCAGCCTGAAGCAAGGAAAAGGGCATATACAAGGTTGAAAAAGCGTGAACAGAGAAAATCAGGAAAAGTTTTGTTTATGCAAGGTGTGTTTGCAGGTTGTGTTTTTAATAGCAATAATTTTTACTACTGATTTTTTTCCAGTAACTGTAGGAAGTAATGTAGAGTAGTAATGTTAGCAGAGGACTTAGCCATAGATGTTTTTATGTGTGCTTTATCTCCATTCATGCTGATGCAATGATGAAGAGAATTAAATGATGAGAAAGCAGCTGGTGGAGAAAACAGGTTCCATTAAAGACTATTCAAAAGATTATAAGCAAATTTATCCATTTAAGGGTACTTGCAAGCTCTTTTTACCTTCTAAACCTGGCAAGTTATGGAGGCATTTCCCACTTGGGTTCTTACAGGTCTTCATACAGGAGGCTCCACAAGGCTTATAGTGCCATTCACATTCTCCTTGTTGATTATAGTAATCACAGAACAGTGCTAAAGAGAAACATAAATTTGAACATGTTCAGAAAAAAACCCAAAACTCTTTTGAGCCATGTCTGCTCAGATTCCTACCATGCTGCCTTGAACAGCCTTGAAAACTGAATGAATAGGTGAAATGTGTGACCATCAAAACCCTGTGAAAAGTACACAGTGCAATTATAATGCATGTACATGAGGTACACAGAATATTCAAAGATATCAACAAGGAACTTCTGTATATTTTACTACACTTTCAGAAGAAGTGTATAAAAAATAAAACTCACGACAAATTGAAGGGGTTCTCCAGGCTATACAGACACCAACTTCATTACATGCTTGAGCATAGGCAGCTACTGCTGTACAAAAACAATCACAGTCTCCTCCAGAGTCACAGGCACAAGCATCTGTCACACATGCTTGATAATATCTTGCTGGTTCAACCTGTCATAAAAAATAAATATTACATTATACATTCTGCCTTCTAAGTTTTCTCAACTTCCCTAGACTAATTTTCTTAAAATTAGGATCTCAGAAGGAAGGCCTATATTAGTTATTTCTTTCGTTATGTTTATATACACTGTTAGACACCAGACGTAATGCCAGATAATACATGCAAATCACATATTGACATAGTTTTAGATATCTAGACTTGTGTCCCAGTGAAAGATTAGTTTCATGTTCCCAAGCCATACTAGGCAGCCATAATCTGAAGATCTCTAGTAGTGGAAAGAACTAAGGTAATAGGAGCAGCACAAAATTATCCTGCATTGTTGGTATTTACTGGCAGTTAATGCTGCCTCATTACTACCCCAAAATGTTATTTCATTGAATTTGTGTTCATTACATGGTATATTTTATCCAAGTTACACCATATGAAAATATATAGTAATTCTGAAATTACTGTTCTTTCCCAATAAGTTAGTATCATTTTCTATGATCTATATAGCCTACTATTTCTTACAGGTAGGGGGTATAGATCTGTTTGACTGAGCAAGATTTAGACTGAAGTTACATAATTCAAAGTGAAACATGCTGCCTAATGAATTAAACATATATGGCAAAGTGCATGAAGATAGACTTCATTTTAGATTCAGTAACACTCAGGCCTAGTCTTCACAGAGTGAACTCCTGCCCTGGTGATACCTGTGAGTGACAGGCAGCAAAGACATTGCTGTTGATGATGCTACACTGCTTCTCTGACCAGGACTTTCGATAAGGGTTGGTAGAGCATGGGTCCTTTACAAAGTTAGCATCAGGACATGTGGAGGATACTTTCCAGCTATTTCCGAACTCCAGGACATTCTCCACTACAGACAGACTCCTTGTAGTGAAGTCATTGATGCCATTGCCATCATAATTTCCACAGAGGCCACAGATCTGACCCTGCAAAAGGAAAAAAAAAAATAATGATGGATGTGAGAAAACAAAGATCTAAAACTGAAAGAATACATGAAATTCAGCTCTTAGAGTGCCATTCTGTTCTAACTTTCCTGAAGATTCCCACTGAAGATATATTTTAGGTTTAGATATTCTGGAAAAGCAGCCATCTCTTTCCTCAGCAACAGAACATGACCACCAAGGCTACAAACAGCTACTGACTTTCCTTCTTTTAAATCTGAACAGTACAACTCTCTTGATCACTTTATCATTTTCGAGGGTGTATCAACTTTGAGGTACATCCTCTTAACATTTAACAAGGGAAACGAGGACTCAGCTAGTTGACAATGCTACAATGCTTTTCATTTATACTTTGTTTTAATATAATAGATGTTCATACAAAAGACAGTCTTATAAAGCTGTTGTAAGTACTGCCAGTACACCCGTGTAACCTACTCATTGAATCTACTGTGATGACCGCTGACAGATGGAAAAATAAATGACATTTTCCTTGCATTTCCAGAAATACCTCATTCCAAATTTCGATATGTGAAATGGTGACAGGCTGTAACAGACACTAAGCTTTCTCTGTGGATCCAAGGATCATACTCTGTCCATACTTTCTTTATCACTTGTTCATATATATACTTGAAAAATACATAACATTTCACTTAGTATTTTACTTCCTTATTCTTGGAGTACAATAATTTGGATTTGTGTGAATGTGTACTGGAAACAATGGATGATTTTTCAAGATCAGGACTCCTGAATTGATTTCTACACATGTAGCTATGTAATCTTAGTAAAGCCTGATAAGCTTTACCAAGATTCACAGAGTAATTTTAACAAGTCCAGTCCATAGTAGCAGTCTACCAACTCAAGTTCTGTCAGGCCAAATAGAAACTGAACACTGCCTTGAGCACTCTAAAGAGCAGCAGCACGTTTACATGTCTTCCTAAGGTACCAGAGGAATAGAAAACAACATATGACATCCTACAGGAATGTTAGAGAAATCACCTGTTTGGGATACTGTTTTAGTCAGATAAAAAATTAACACCCAGTCCTAATCTAGACTTAAACTACTAGTTCCGCACCTTAAATTCAGGGCTCAGCTTGATGAAGATGCTGGTTTTCTTGTCCCACATGAGGATCAGTCCACTGGTGGTATCAATCACTGTGTACATACCTATATAACGGACTGTGAATGGTACTTCACCACTTTGTCCTCTCTTTATCACACTGACGCGCTCCTCACTGAGTATCAGTTCATAGTGCTGAAACAGGAGGAAAAAGTGATTAGAAATGAATCTAATAGCTACAGCTGTGCTATTAAACACTTTTTTCTCCACTTTTAAGAGTAGTAAAACCAGTTTGTTTAATGAAAATACATAATCCGAATGCAGTTTAGTTCAAATCTCAGGTTCATGGAATTGTGGTAAAAATGTATTTTAAATGGAGCAGATTGTAGATTAAAAAATGATGTCATGGTAGTCATGGAGGAACTACTGTGCACAGAGCAAGAGAATCTTCTGATGTGATCAGCCAAATTTTTGCTACAGGCAATTTTCCTCTAGAGCTGTAGTTTGTCCAAGGTTAAGTGTAAGACGGCTTTGTAGGGCTGGAATAGGTGGAAAGCTGGGAAGCTGTACCAAATACTTCACCTGATTCTGGCTTAAGCTTAATTTACAAGTTGGTTTGCTTTTTAAAATATTTTCTCCAAACTTCCTTGTGGCAATGGATATCCTGACTTCCCCCAAGCTTTACACAGATACCGAACAAAAAAACCCTGGTCTGTAATGCAATACCTACATACCTCTAAGAAAACTTTGATAGATTTTGAGCAAGTTGTCCCAGTGCTGCCACAGGGAATATTTTCACTGATAACCTGGAAGGTCCCATTCACTGTGTCACTCTTCCCACAGTGGTTCTGAGTAATAAAATTAAAAAACATATTATTGTTGCAGATAAGATCAAGATTATATTACAGTGTAGTTTTGTTAAATAACAGTACCTGGACTAGTGTGTATTCACAGTTTCCATTGAAGCTGAACCTTTGGTCATCAAAGGTGGTATAATGTCCATCTCCGTAAACAGCGCACGTACCCAGGCATTGTTTTTTGGTGCATTCCCACATCCTATCCTTGCACACACTAGGAATGAGAATTAAATCTTTTAGTAATAAAGTAACTCACTGTCTTATGCAGACATATCCCAAAAACTCAGCATTTGTTTGGCATCTCATTGTTAGTAAATGTTATATTGATTCTGAAGTTAAAACAGTCTTTTACATTTCCCATGTGAAGTATTAAAGCAAAGTTCTGTTCTGCTATTCCAAATGCATGAACTGCAAAAAAGGATAAAATGTAATGGACACCATCCCCCCAAAGGTTTTCTCCCAGTTTGTGCCTCAGCTGTCTGCCTGCAACAAAAGTAAACTTGCTCATCTTTCTGAGTCAAAATTTAAAAGACCCATCAATTGATGAAATGCACAGTCTAAATCTCTGCTCACTACTGTACAGCTTAAGATCTTTTTAAAGGCAAATGATGGAACCAGGAATGCAACTTTCCAGAAAATACTTACCAGGTATTACAGTCAGCATTGATCTTTTCCCCAGGTTGATACATGGCTCCATTGTGAATACATGGACATTCCTCTTCAGGAATACAACCACCTTTCCCATCTAACACAAGCCCAGATGGGCACACACAGCCAGATACACACTGTGTGCTATACTGGAAAGGTCAAGAGGAAGATACAATTTCAGAATAAAATAATCACACTAGAAAAATGAAGATTAGATCAACTTAAAATGTCTTTATATGTTCTATTTCTGCCCAGCTTAAATAAGAGAAGACTCTGAAGTACTTATAGGCCTCTAGAACAAAGACGAAGTTATTAGCATGTAAAGCTGCTAAACATTAGATGCATTCTAATCCTAAATGCATTTGTTCAAGTCTGTCAAATTTGAACTATACTGGATCTTAAGACTTGCTCTGTGTTAGCTGAACAAGTCCCGTGCTTTGTGATGGGTGACTTGTGATTGAATGGACTTTAAAAAAAAGTAAGTAAATTTAGTTTGAGTGAGTTGCATTGAAAACAGATGCATCTCTTATGGTACCTATTCATGAAATTACACATGGCTATCATGCACTTAGATGGAGAGACATGATTAGATGTGCAAGAAATTCATAACTGCACTATCATATGGAAAGAAATGATTGCTCCTAGCCAGCCTACAGCAAGTAATTTTCTCTTAAGGAAGTAAAATATGTGGCAAAGCTCTAAATATTTTCACTACTAATTACTCTTACTTCGAAAGACTTGAACTGTTACAACACTGTGTAAGACATAAAAAGAAATACTTCATATTATATACACACAGGTTTATGCTCTTATACTTGATCCATTTTTGTGCGATGAATTTTCACTCAAATCCTTTGCTGAAAGTCAGAAAGCCATCACGTTTTTCATTTAGTCAGATGAAACAGTTACAAAATGTTAGCTCTAATGAGAGTGATTTGAGAAGTAGTTGAAGAAACTTTGACACTGATCTTACAAAAGTTGGATGTTACTTATTATAGTTTATTCTGATGATCCTTGTTAACACAAGGATCTGATGAATCTTATTGTTAACACATCATAATGTGTTTTGGGGATTTTAGCTTAAAAAGTATCTGTGATGTAGATTCAGAGTAGGAAAGTTAGATCAGTGATGACTGTAGCACAAATATGACAGACAAAACTTGAAAGTACCATTTCATCCAGCCATGACATACTTACACACTGCATATCCAGAGTCTGACAGCTTTTTTGACACTCTGATCCAGTTGTTCCTGCTGTGTTGTTTCTACAGTCTAAGTAGAACATGGGAGATTCACAAACTAGAGGAAGGAAAGAAATGAGAGAAGTAAGAAATGGCAGGGGGTTTATCACACAGCTGTAGCCGTAAAAAGCATTTAGAAATTCTTTGGAATTTGTTCATTTCAGTTAGTAAGGACTGCTGTCTCTACTCAGTCTGCTAAATAGGATCCAACTGTAGATTCACTTCAGAGCACTGAATTCCCAGAACCTTCCACAATATATCAGAAAAAAATCTTTTAGAACAGATCTTCTCATGAACCTAGGGTTACTTCTGCCTTTTATAGTATAGAAATACTTCTATTATTTAAAAATCCATTAAGAAATATCAATTCTAATATTATATACCAAATATATACAAGTGCAAGTGGAAGACTTTTTTTTAACCTGGAATTTGATCGGGTTCTCCAATGCAATTCAGTCTTCCCTGGATGCAAGTGCTGTAAGAGAGGGAAAACCATTAATTTTTAACCGTTTGTTGAGACTGAGAGCTACCTCTGTCAAGTTTTGGTACTTTATAAGGAATTAATTGAGTTCCTGAATACTATTTTGAAGACCCAGGGTAGAGTTTCTCTCAACAATTATGCTTTCATATGGTTGCTTAACAGGAAAAACTAGAGAATGACATAGATATATTTCTGCTTGTTACTTACTTTCTCCTACAATTTCTCTTTGTTTTTTCTGTCTTGTGTTTTGTGCTTGAAAAGTTATAGAATTAAATAGAAAATACTTCTATATACAATTGCTCTACCAATCTGGATGTATATACTATTCTTAAAAGTTTAAAAAAATGTTTATGAGATTACTATATTGAAACTCACGCAGGGCAAGGTGAGAACAGTTTAAATGGAAGCTTATTTAGATAATAAAAATGCATATACTATTACTTGAATGTTATTCAAAAGCTTCCCTTACCACACAAGCCCATTTTCACGGACAACTTCTCCAAGTGGTATGGGAGATCCTCGGTAGTAACAGGGGCATTCATTAGCAGGCACACATTTGCCACTTTCATCCATGTAGGTTCCATTTATGCAGGTGCAGCCATCAACTGGGACAAACTTAATTTTGCATGTGACATCAGGCTCACTTAGAGAGCGACATGTGGGTTGGCATGAATCGATGGTATAGCTGTAACTTAGGGATTTGGGACATGAGGTGCTGTACTTTGCTTGAGAGAGTAAAAAGGAAGAATGAGTTTGTTAATTCCAGACGGTAATTTTTGTTGGGAAGAAAGAAATGGTAGGTAGTAGCAATAATAGGTGAACAAAAATATACACCTCTGCCTACGCTCTATCTTTCACATAAATGTTTTTCTGAATATTTCCAGAATTAGAAGTGAAAGCTACTGTACGTGTAGATAAATCAAGTCGTGTATGCAATAAGGAATATATTTTCTTCAAATGACAGTTTGGAAAGAAACTTCCATTTGGTGCTGCTATTTCATTATTCTAGCAACCAGTTTTCTGGTTAGCACTACTAATGTTGTTACTGTTATATGTCATATTAATCTCTATGACACTGTGATGCAGAAAGCTATAGTTAAATTCAAAGTTGTGCAGAAACAGGTGGAGGCGTGTCTGTAACAGCAAGCTCTCTCCCATCCGTTTATATTTATTATTGCTTTTAATGGATTGAATCTAAAGGAACAGCAGGGGATTATATCTAGGAGTGCATTTAACAAAACCCCTTCCTTGACACTTACCATATTTGTCTAGAAATCAATATAAATTTTTTTTCACCAACACTTTTTATTGATGGGCGCACAGGAAAGGAAGTAGAGAAGTGTACTCACAACAGACATTAGTCCTCCATCCATTTATTTGGATTCCTCTTGCAGCACAAGCTCTCACATAGGAAGAAAGGGCTGCGCATAGACAGCCCTCACTGTTTTGACAGTTACACGTGTCAAACATGCAGTTCTAGGAATGTGAGAAAAATATAATCACAACACTTCTAAGACTATCAACATCTGAGTCATTTATAATGAGAAGGAAGACTGACAGCACACTGATAGTGGAATGATGATATTTAGCCAATGGACTTTCTGTGCCAAGTATAATAAGATGTGAGGTTGGTGAGGTGGCAGTTAACTGTAATTTTCAAATAACCATTTAACATGCCTTTGTGCAAACCACCTACCATGTAAGTATATCCATCCAAGAGAAAATAGCTGCCTTTGCATTTGCAATGACAAAACCAAGTCTGACAACTGAAATAAGATAAAGCTACAACAAAAACAGCAACATGTTGAAAGAAAGAAATGCATTACAGAAATGAAAATGCAGGCATTGCATAAGACTAGAGATATGTCTGGGACAATTTTTTTCCTGGTAGCTAGTTGTAATGATCCTATTTCTATTGTTTCTGATGGAGAATGGTTTCTACCAACATACCGTGTAGTAAGTAGAGGGATTCAGTAGATAGTGACAATCAGCAAAAGGTCCTTCTCTGTTAGTTAGTAGTCCACACCAATGCTGAGCATATTTTTCTGTAAAAAGAACAGACAGTACAAATATGCACATTACTCTTTTACTTCATTAGTCCCATATACTACTTCCCTAACATGGGAAGCCAGTTTTGAAATTACATCAAATCTCTCCTGTCCTGTCTCTTTTCACTCAGTTTGTGCTCTAAGGTTATTAAAACCAAAGGTGCAATGAAATAGAGTTACCAAAGATCACAAATCACAAAAAAGAATTTCCAAAGATGCTCATGTGATCCACTCCTCTGATATCAAGCTGTGAGCTTAGACATTCTCTCTGTTTTCAGTGATCACACAGTTTCTTTCAGTTATGCCTCCAGGACTCTTCCTTTACTTCATTACATAGCCCTCATGCTTTCATTGTGAATATTCTGATTTCAGATATACGTTTTCACCAAATATACAGTTCTTCATTCTCTTATATTTGCTTTCTAATAGTTGTGTTTTTCTTAGTGATAAAAAATAGAAAAAATTCTTTAAAAAAAAAAGTAATGTTAAGAAGCATTTACCATTATCGATGCTGAGTGCACAAGGGTTCTCAAAACTGTTCTGGATATCAGGGCAAGAAGCCTGAGTTTTCCATGTATTAGCAAATGCTGCTGCTGTTCCTTCAATTACTCCACTTATGGCCTTAAAGTCATCAGTTTGGACATTATTGAAATTTCCACAAAGGCCTGTTGAAAACCAGTGAAATGTTTATACTGTTTGTACTCAACAAAAGACATTTAGCAAGAAGGTCTTCAGTTTCATTCACTTACCACAGGTTTGGTCTTTGAACACAGGGTCCAATCGCACAAACATTTGCATGATGGGTGTGATCTGGATTTCAACCTGGATACCAATGTTTGTGTGCATGATGATGAAGAATGATGAAGGTCTAAAGATAGTGACATTGGCTATAAAAGAAAAAATAGAATGATTGCTTTCAGGAGGAGGTTAAATGAAGGACAGAGTAGATCATGATATGAAGACTGCTCTAAAAGTAATGCCTCCTATTTTATAACATTGCCCACGAATCAGAGGTGAATGTTAGAGAAAAAATACCTGCTGAGATTGGCAGCTGGGTGTAGATTGAGTTCACAAACACACCACCATCAGTTTTGACCTCAATGAGCTGTTAAGGAAGAGGAACAACAGGTAATCATGTGAAAGATTATTATAGTCCAAAGAGTAATAATAGTGATGACTCCGGTGATATTACTTAAATGGCTATTAATTAAAAGGGGTCATTTTTGTGATCTCATCTCTTCTCTTTCTTTCCACTTTGTGCACTTCACTAATTTTCCTTGCCAAGGAAAACTGGTTTTTGAAGAGTCTTTCTCAACTGATTAATGAATTTTATCATCTTGGTTTCTATGAACAAAACTTTATGATGAATTACACCCATTACTGTTGTACTTGTAGCTTCTAAATTACAAGTTTATGTGTTTTCATTGAATTGGCAGAAAAACAGCTTTTTCAGCTTTTTCTTAATGAACTTCCATAAAATCAAATCTACTATTTCATTTTTACAAAAAAAAAACTAGTTTATTTTCACTTGATAAAAAGTAACATGTACTTATCCCATATGTGGAAATAAATGCAGGTCCCTACCCGATAAAGGTCTAGATGCTTTGGTCCCCATGTTATTAATATTTTTTTTCATGCTTATTTTGCATTCTTACCGTTTGTCCTTTATTCAAGCTGAGGGTCACTGTCCTTAAGCACGTTTCAGTGTTTGTCATGCCACACTTGCGTAGTTCCACCAGGATAGTGAATATTTCATCTTCACAGTGCTGAAAATAAATAAAAATCCTAACAGTTATTCAATGAAAGGCTAATAACAAAAACTGTCCCTGTCAAAGTCTCTCTTTTCAGGGAAATAGTAACAATGAGTGATTTTCTTTCTTTTCTTTTCTTTTTTTTTTTTTTTTAGACTGAATTGTGCAAATGGGAAAAAAAGAAAGCAAAGAAGAATCATATCAAAAAGGTCAAACCTTTTCACTTACACATTACTGTAACAAAATGTTTTGATTATAATGAATTTTTTACTACTTTATTTCTCTTAACTCATTTTTATAATGGTTAAAACCTAAATGAAATGTATCAGTTGACTTGAACTGATTTTTCTTTATTTCAGTTTCCAAGAAAAATATACTATTAAATACAGTTAACAGGGTAAAATTATTTAATCCAGTAAGACAGCTGGAACAATCACGTAGAAGAATGTACATTAAGCAATATCTTAAAAAGAGAGTTGTCTTCAGCATTTATTGTATGACAGAACTGGAAATTCCCTGGAAACCACCATTTACTGTTGCATGACATCCTAATATTTAGCTGATAATTAAATCATTTGAATGGCAGAATACATTCCAGTAAGCGTCTGAGTAACTGAAGCAATTCAATATACATATGTCAAAAGATGTAAGTTTCAAAGATGTTGTTTGAGATCACCTATTCTTTCCACAAGCACATAAGGCTTTATGACCAAGTAATATCTGATTCTCACCTTAGAAAGGACGTAAGTGCAGTCTCCATAGACATCATAATGCTTTTTATCATATGTCGAAATGTGCGAGCCTCCTTCTACGGAACATATTCCTGGACATGACATATCTTCGCAATTCCATTTGCCTCCATTACATGTACTGGAAGAGACAAGACAAACTTAGCTGAAATTAGTAATAGCAATCCAGACTTACAGTAATTACAATGACATTAGGTTTAGTACTGCTTTTCCCTTTCAATCTATTGTTTGAATACACAGGAAATCCAGGTTTAAGACTTTCTCAAATATTGTGAACATATGAAGTAAAGCATTAAAGGGAGTGACTGTGATATGCATTCACTTTTTTCATTTGTTTCTATTTTTTTTGGAATAGGTTAACTCAATAGCAACAGGTGCTGGATGAGTAATTGCTTGTTTTCTGCAGCTAACATAAAACGTAATGCCAAATTAAAATCTCTTCTGTTTTCTTGTACAAATGTATAAGAAACTAAGAGAAATGTGACTCCACATCTACTCCTGATGAGTAGATAGAGTATATCTGTTTTCTAAGGTAATGTGGTACTGTACAGGATTAATAATTGTGAAACTGAGGTTGTGTAGCTTCTCTTATTTTCTTCAGAGAAAATAAATATTTGCAAATACGTAAATTACTGCAACTTCATTCCCTCTAGAGAAGTCCAAATGTTTGAACAAAGTAAACAAAGAGGAAGCACTTGAATTCACTGGTGAGAAATCCAAACACTGTAAATCCTTACTTTGATCACCTTGAGCACAAGTGCAAAGACAGTTAAGGCTGTTGCTAAATAAAACAAAGAATATTTGTTGGGGTTATTTTGGAACTGTAGCGGTCAGTTAAATACACAGATCAATTACCGATGATGTAATTGCAAACAATAAATCATTAAACCCATTAAATATATTAGAGGAAATAATGAGTTAAGAAAATAGCAAGAGTTACCAGGAATGGCACTGCTCTGAGAAAGAAGTTCCTGGAGCATAAGTGTTGCCATTGTAAATACAGGAACACTGCTGACGGGAGATGCAGCCAGAATTGTTTATGTCATCAAAAACGGTTCCTTAAGTTAAAAAAACAACAACAACAAAATTTAATCAATTGAAGAGGCATTTTCGATACATGGGAAAATAATCATTTTTGTTCATTACTAAAAATTGCCTCGAAGACAGATTTGCAGCTGCTGTGAACTTTCATAGATACACCGAGGACAGTAGGACTATACCAATTTACACACTTTCAACCTTTCTATTCTTAAATTCCACCTGCTTTGAAATGGAGTTATTTTAGTACAGGTGGCTTGTTGAAAGACTAGCTTTGATCTGTTTGCTTTTCAGCTTTCTTGCTTTATAAATATTGCGTGTGTGCTGGCAATTAATTCCGATGTCTTTCCTCAGTTGATAAATGATAAATACTTATCACTTGCAGCTGTGAAAAACGCAAATATAAGAGCCATAAGCCTCATGGAATCTGCCTTGTTTATTTTGAGATCAGAAATGTGAGTATATAAGAACTTGCCTTGGGGGCAGAAACAACCATCCATACAGTGCTCTTCACAAAACTGAGATCGTTCAGGATTAGTGCATGTGTCAGTGCAGGGGGAGCTGCACTCCGAATACTGCATATTGTAAGGACATGTCTTGGCTGAAATGTTAACAAAAGGAGAGTTTTTTTCAGTCTGAAGTATTGCTAGTTCACTGTATATGGAAATAAGTATGTTTATTTACATTTTTTTTCAGCTAGATTTAAAACCATACTAAACCACAGACCTATTCCCACTTCTCAAAATCTTCAACTTTATTCATTCAGATCTATGTTTTATAGTTGAGATTTGCTTTTCATGACAGTGTAAAGAAAGACTTAACTGGTGGCAAAATGACTGGAATTCTAGGCACATCAAGAAAATGGTTCTGCAAAACTAGCAAGGTTTCTGTTAAAGTAGCCTTTTCAAGAATATCTGCATTGCTAGGGAAACGTAACATCAAGTTTCTAAAGCTTCAGTATAGTCAGATTTTTCAAATATCACTGGAAGAGTAAATAGTATCCCAGTGGATTTTAATTTGAAACAAATGTTGGTGACAGTATCAACAGCTACGCTAACAATGTGCAGGCGTTTAATTCAGTAAAAACCTCTGAAGATTACAGTGATACACACTCCTCAAAACCAAGCTAGAGGAGATTAAATGCTACACCAGCCTAAGACCAGTGAAGACTCAATCAGTTAATCAACGAGGGTAAAAAATATGGTAGCCGTCATGAAAAAAAGGAGAGAAACAGAAATATAAGTAACCAAATCACCCTCCTTCTTCCTCCTTGTATTTGTTTCCTTTACTATCCCAATTCATTAAATGACCCTTCAGCTCTTGTGATACTGTTTAAGTCAGTCTGCTTAAAACACTTAGTTCTTTCTCCTTAGCCTCTTGCTGGAGCTTGTACATCAGAACCCCCCAGTATGCCTGTAATTTCCAATGCATACTCAGCATTATTTGAGAACTCATTTCTTTTTATTTATCCAGCACAAAATAAAGGCATCTCCACTAATACTTACGGCACAATTTTGAGGTTCTCCAGTTCAAAGGTTCCCCACCAGCATGAGCACACTGCCGGGAGTATTCAGCAATAGTATCACAGATACATGAGGCATTTTTTAACTCCTCAGAGCGGCACAAGTCTTCTTGGCAAGCCATAATGTACTCACTAACATTAACCAGGCCATTACAGTCTGCAAATGCAAAGCTGGTCAATGTTTTTTGACATATGTCATCCTGGGGAGAAAAAAAAAAACAATAAGAAAACTTTCAGAAAATAGAAAAGAGCAAATTTTTAGTATTGTTTCTCTGCTACATTATTCTTTAATAGAATTGCATATCTCTTTTTACTTAGTATTGCCCTAGGTCTTTTCCTGTTGACCCCTCTGAAGCTGTAGAACGATATAAATAAATGTGAAAGAAAAATTAAAGAATAATCAAAAAGATACTTACGAAGTTATATGTGCAATTATCTGGTGGGGAAGGAGTTGGGTCTTCACAGTACTCTGTAGGCCCATCCATTTTCTGCATATTCCCAAACTGTAAGGCTGTCATTCTGATATCTGTGCAAAAGAAATTTAATAATGAGGGTTGTGTGGGCTTTTTTTGGTCAACTCAACTTCCTAGTATCTTTTCCTCTTGTCAAGAATTCTTTTCAAGATCAGCTAAGGCAGATAGTTCCCTTGAATCTTTTCATTTTATCATCATTCCTTCCAAAATAAACACTGACATCACTATCTGGAAAAATAAAAACATTAGAAAACAATTTTCAGCCTACTACTTCTAGGCACAAACTAAGATTTGAACTGGAAAAAAACCCAGACTGTTTTCAGAAGACTATGAGTCCATGTAGGGAAGAGAGAAAATAATTAAAATAGGGATTTGTACAATGGAGACTGCTGAGAAACAAGGCTTAGGAAAACACTCAAATTGAGAATGGATAAAATAAGAGAGGATTATATATAGACTATGCATACCAAAAGACAAATGTGGATATATTTTGTGGAATAAGATTACATATTCAAAGTTCTGACAGCATGTTTAATGGACTCATTAATATAGACAAACGATCTATCTCCCAGGCTTTTCAAATCAGAATTGATATGTTATTATTAGAATTATTTTTATGACAGAACTGAAACAACAAAAGTAGTGACTAGGTATTACAACTACATTTCATTTCACTGGATATATTTCAATATTTATGTTATTAGTGAGAAACTGGCTAACACCTTTAAGTATTAAACACATGATGTGCTTATGTTTTTTGTTATGTTTTTCAACATAGATTGAATCATAGCTTCTGAGTATATCCTTCAACAGGATAGGAAAGAGGAATGATGATGATGTTAGTGCTGAAAGTAGAATACATGCTTAAGACTCCAGAAACCAATTTCTGATATTTAAGAAACTTACTGTTTGAATAGAACTCATTGTAAACTGGAATGCCATTGAAGTCCCCACAAAGACCACAGGTCTGATTGGCATATTTCTCATGCAGTTCTAACTAAAATGATAGGCAATACGTTGACAGAAGTTAGTATACACATTGTAAAATACATTCAGGATCATTGAAAACACTTGTACTTGCTGACCCTATTTTTCCGTCAGAACTACGTAATTTTATTTAGGAATCTAATTTAAACTTGATGGGTAGAATGAAGAGTTGTCTTAGATTTGATTTACAACATAAACTCCAAACAATTGGTGTAGACATAGGTTTTCACTGTAATATCTGCAGAGAGCCCAGCCTTTTTCTCTCCATTGTTCTGAAACAAAATCAAATTCACAGCAAAAATGATGTCCTAAGAGAGAGAAATTCTGCTCAAAAATTGTAGTAGAAGAGGTAAGTTGGACCTGCAATGATGGTAATATATTAATGACAGTGAAAGTGGTTTTTCACCTTACTTTAAGCAGAAGTCTGCTATCAAAGAGAAGTAAATCCACATAATTTTCTTTGGGACTACCTAGATGCAAACCTATCTTTCTTAAGGAAAAAATGCTCAACAGTATGAGATGGAAAGGCAATAGTAACTCCTAAACAAGTATTAACCTAATCAAAGATCAGCTTTTTGGCTGATCTGGAGGTGTAGACAGGTCCAAGAGCTGTTCTTACCAGGATACTGTCACGTTGATTCCACATAAATACAATATCCGCTTTGCTGACAACTTTCACATAAATGCTGCTTCTCTCTATAGTAATTCCAGCTTGACTGTATGGCAGTTGAACTCTACAGGAAGGTAGAATTAATACTAAATGTTTTCTGATCCAGATGTTTGATAAAGAGAAAAAAAAGGCTTTCAGAATCTTACAAGAATATAATGTTGTGTGGAAAGAAAAGCAATTAAAAAATAAAATGGTCCAGTATCATCAAATTTGGATTTAAATTCGAATCCAGTCTCAGGATTTTTCATAGAAATTTTGTTTTTGAGGTAATCTTTGAAGGAACAATTGATTTATCGTGACTCAAATTAATAGCAATTTATTCATTATTTCTGTGGGTAAAATTGTCAGATATATTGAAGAATGCTGATTTTTCCCCAGTATACAAGAAAGTACTTGGCCAACTTGAAAAAAAAACCAACAAAACATCTGTATTTACCAAACAAGTGGTATGAATAAACTCACTTGTTGCTGTTGATCAGGACAACATCCTTTGTTAGTTCAACAGCTACCCCTTCAAGTTTTATGGCAATGCGGTGAATTGTTGGAATATTTTCCACAAGGGTACGCCTAATCTGGATGTTGAACTCTTCATAGGGAGCGTTGCAATGGGATGCAAAAACATAATTGCAGAGCCCAGGGTAGTAGAAGATGTCTCCATCAAAAGTCTTGAAGTGGAAGTTGCCCCATGTGCTGCATACACGGCCATTGTGAGCAGGGTTGGAAGCTGCAAATTTAAAACTAGCTGTAAAAAATGACTTAAAATTCCTAGCCTTAACATGGTGAATCAAATTGGTTTCTTTCTGTCATAGTTTTCCCTTGACCACCTCCCTTTGTTATTTCCATCCATCTATCCATTATAACACAAATCACCATGTATTCATCCTTCATCATCTGTCTGGTGTTCATCACATAATAAACCCTTAAACAGTTGTAGTTAAGTTCAAGTAGATTATTTAGTTGTTCACATTTCATACAAGATAACAGTTCAACATTATGCTGTGTTTCTTAACTGACCTCTTTCTCCTCTTATGTCTTCATGACTTCTTTTACCAGTGCATTTCCCCATTTGCATTAAATTCCTTTGTCTACATCTTCTAAAACTGAAAACTTATTGAACACATTTCATTTACTTAACTTACGTGTTATTACTGGATTTGTTGATGTTTGCTGGATGATTTTCACCTCAGATGAAACTGTAAAAGAAGAAAAAAAATTAAGAAAGAAGCCCAAACCTAGTGTAACAATTCCAAAACTTGCATCTAAAACTGACCTAGAAAGAAAAGATCAGCATGCTAATATGACACTGTTAAGCCTGGCGCTGATGTATATAGGATATGAATCAGGTTAAAAGTCCATATTCAAACTCAGGATAATTCAATCATAAGAAATTGCTTTCAGCTGTGAGGATTTCAATTTTCTAACCTTGTAGTTTTGACCCTTTTATGAAACTCCAAATTGTGTTAGCATAGGCAGAAATTCGCAGCTCTGCATATCAGAGCTCTTCAGACACAAAAACCAATACAAAGGGTTAAGCTATACTAAATTAGCATAGTAAAAAAGCATAGCTGGCTTTTCGTTACATCTACTCTGAATAAGGAGGAAATTAAAAACTTTGATTATACCAATCACTTTTAACCCAAGCCATTCCATGATTCTATGATTCTACAATTATTTTCCAGAAATTTGCTAAAGAGGTTTTTAGGCATTCTTATTATTTACTGGAGATGTGAGGAATGAATACAAATACGCAGTATAAACCAACTTTTTAAGTGAAGCATTTAGATAGGATCAAAGGACTGGAAAAAAAAAACAAGACATGTGGCCACATGATTATGGCACTCAGCTGCATCAAAACTGTCCTATTCCTGTGTTTGCTTCAATTATTATTTTTGTACCTCTAGTTAAATAGTTAGTAGCTCAACTACATCAATTGTCTTCCACCTAAGTTCTCATTCTGTCTCCATAAGTTTTGAATTGCTTTCTACACATGGTCCAACTATCATACTTAGAAAAACACCTGATCCTGTGCTCCAAGTTTCATGCTCTAAGCTCCTGATTTTTATAAGTAAACATGTCAGGCACTTCCCATTTAAGAAAAATGGCTACAACTTTATTTTATGAAAGACTGAATCCACCCAGAATGAAATAACCATGCCTGAAAAATGCTGACTAATACCAACCTACAACAACACGCCAAGTCTAAATCCTCAAGGACTTAGGTGATGAAATGATTCATGTTTGAATGAGCACTTCTGGTGTCTAATGTATTTGCCAGTTGAAGAAGAGCTGCCTGTGCAATTTAGTACTAAGTCCCCTTTCTCCCTATTCAACAGACAGAGAGAGTCCACAAACTCAGAACCAGATTAGACCACCATACCAAACAAGAAAGGATTTTTACTGGAAATGCACATCATGTAAGCAAACTGAGTACTTGATCTCAGAGATGAAGGGTGCCTGACTGAAGGGATTCAAACTCCCACTCCCAAAGAGGAACCCAAGAGACTCCTAGTTTTGGAAGGGCATTCTGGGAAGCTTCACCATCTCTAGAAGTTGTTCCAGTGTCTGCAGAAGTTTCCTTTCATCCCCAAGCTTTTGTTCTTTTTTTCATTTATACATGACCATTAATGACGTACAAAGAGGTAACTTTAATCTTTTTCCGCTTTCTGTTGGTCTTTCAGTATCACAGATAATATCATTAGGTAAATACATTCATACCATTATAATTGTTGAGAAAATATAACAAATGCCTCTGTGAGTCTTAATAATGCAACAGAATTTGCTTTCATTCAACACATTCATAGGAGCTTCAGTGGACATAGAATCATTCCGACTTCACCTAAGAGCCAGTACTCTTTAAAATATTGTGAATGTTTATTTAAAAGTGTGAGAACTTTTGTAACAGAACAAAACAGTATATACATGTATTTTAGTCTGTTAATTTTTCTCAAGGAAATGCAGGTTTTTTTGTTTTTTTTTTTTATTAAGCAAGTATTATTTCCAAGGAAATTCTAGCTGTACTAGTTTATCTAGCAATTGCACAATGGCATGCTGTTGATTCTTACAAAAATAGGTGCCTATTGCTTCCAAGAATACCAATACATGGTAATTCAATCTTTGATTATTTGTAAAGAGTTACAAATATTTGTGGATGCACCTTGTCAAGCTACTATCCAGCTGCCACGCCATATACACAATTTTCATTACAACTTATAAAATTTGGAATTGGACCCTAAATATGAAGTTAGGCACAAAATGTCAGAGAAGATGGCATGGGATAATACTTTGTAGTCAGTTAGGAGATCTGAATATATTTTCCACCTAGTGTGATTTGAAAGAAGTCTTTGCTGGATTTGATCTAATAACTATTCATTTTTCAAAGCAATTTATCGGGTTGGCATTGCACAATACAAATAACTTTCTTGTACAAAGAAGGGCTGAGGATGTTTTGATTGACACTACATAACTCTAAATGTAAGATTACACTGTAAGTAACTGTTGTACTTTTGCGCTTAAATCAACTTAGCCGTATTTTAGTGCTTATTTCATGTAACATAAAGTAACCTAAAATTGTATTTACACTTATTTGTTAGTATTTGGAAAGTGATACACAAGATAAATTGAAAAGCAATCTGAAGATTTTAAAATGTTAGCTGACAGGGCAGTAATAACTGTACACCAATGGGACTGACTTAGCAAGTTTGTATTCATGCAAGTAATTTCCTTTTGCATAGTCCAATTAATTGAACATGATTGAATATTAACAAAATCTGCCAAGACTGTCCTCAATTAATGTAATGCAAACAAGAGAAAAAATGATGGATTGCAATGCAACAGATTAACCTCTCAGTGATTTTCATAGTGAAGATCAACAATTTATGTAAATATTAAATATTATATCTAATGTAGTACCAGTATACAATTCATTATCGAAAATCATTGTCACATGAATACATTCTAGTGTCTTTTGCAAAGGAATTAGCAAGAGTAATCTGGTATTAAGTTCTAGTAGGTGACAAAATACTGGAAAAGACTGACCTGATCTAGCAACTGGAAAATGTAGTGCTTTAAATTTCATGAAAAGATCAGAACCTTTGTAATCATTCTTACTATAAAATGCAAAGGAAATGAAATGCTTTTGTAAGGCATAAGTACTACTGAACAACTGGTACTTTAAGACACGAATAATGGTTCTTTTTGATTTGATTTTCAAGACTACTTATCAAGTGAGGTTATATTCAGTAGCTTGGGGCAACGTGAAATCAAATCAGTCCGGTTAATAGACAGACACCAAATATTTGATGTAAATTAAAAAAAAACAACAACAAAGACACAAAGACGTTCTAAGTGCAACCATTTGTTAAGTGAAACATTAAAATGGATTTAGTTGCTTAAAATATATTATTAGATCTAAGCAATAATAAAAGAGTTAACTCCTTACCTATCTGATGGGTACAGAAAAGTGTTAAAAGGAAAGCCCATTCTCGTAACCATATCCTCCTACCAAACTCCATCTTGAGTGGAGTCTGGCAGAAGGGTGCCAGTGTAAGGTTGGTCAGGAAGAATAGTAGAATAGTTCACCTGTGCTCCCTCAGGCTTATATAGCAGGTGGCTTTGGCTTCAGTCCCAGATTGATTCAGATAATCCAGAAAGGTGGGGTTTGGGGGATTTTAGCAAATGAATAGGTAAACAGAGGATGCTTTTCCTTCCTCTGCAACTGGCCAATGGTATTTGCATTTTGGGAGGAGTATATGCATATACGTACATATATTTTGTTAAAGTTCAGCCTAATAAAGAAATATAACATAACTGCAAATAAAACATGAGACCTCCTTCACAAAAGAAAAGGTCCTAGAACAAATAGAATTTGATGTTGCCTTACAATTATGCATATGGCATAGAAGTAACTATTATAAGTTTTTCAATACTGTAAATGATGCCAGGCTGCTCCTTGGCGAAAGAAAACATAAAACCAACAGATTGCTGATTTCTGAAATTGGAGGAGATATGGAGTATATTTCAAATGGGGGGACGCAGTACTATGAAGTCACTCTGTGCCCATTCAGGGCAGCAAATCTTGCAAAAAGAACAGACTAATAACTTTGAAGGGTCCTGCATTTTCACAGTGTCATACCGAGTGTATGCCATGAAAACCTCTGACACTGACAAGCGTTAGGCACCCATTTAAGGAACATTAATTAAATCAGCTTTCCCTGGACTATACTCTGTTAGAGATGGGTTCAGACCTTGACCTCTACTTCTGAGTTTGCTGCAGAGTCTGATTTTGCCTTCTCACAGAAAACACCAGTAACTTCACACAGTCAGATAGCCTTACCACAGCTTTGTAGGAGAGAAATGTTCAACAGATAAAGGCCTGCAACCACGTTCATTACCATTCCCGTGTAATTCCATTCCTACCTATGGGAAAATGAGCCCCTACACATTAGGGAAGCAGACAATAAATCAGGCCTATTAGGCCCACCAGTTAATGTTTAACACTTTTTTTTCCCACCCAAATATTGACTTTTTGCTGTTCTATGGTGTTATCATTTCAAAAGTGTGAATGAACGTATACTTCAATAAACAGTCCAGCTATTTTGTGTCCCCTTCTTTTTTAGCTTGACATCAAAGATAGGTAGGATAAGTTGCTCTGGGCAGATTTCTCAATCTGTCTTTTCAAGGTCAACAGACCTTATCTTAACATGGTTAAATATGAACAAAAAGTTTAAGTTCTTTTAAACCGCTGTTTGGCAAAAAATAGTGCACAGCCCAGCACTTGGTGTACAGATAACATTTGCCCTCAGTTCATCTTCAGCCTACTGATGCAAGAACATGGGTAGCTGATGGAACAAAAAATCTTCATCATGAGAGAGCTGCTGCACAGCAAAGAATTTAGCAAGAGGCATCTGGGAGATGAATTGCGGTGGCTGAACCACAGGAGAAATAAGCAGCTAGAATAAAATTCATGCATGCTAGGATGTCTAGAAATTGCAGAAAGGACTTGCATAGTATGGGGTAGTACTGTTCTCTGTGCCTGGTCAGACTGAGTTCAGCAGTCTTTACTGATTTTTTCACTTCTGCTGAAGCAGAGGAGAAAGAAAAATTTGGGAAGGTGTCCTAATTGCAAAACATGAACATAGCTGGATGCTTAATTCCTGTGGGTTCTTATGAAAATCCTGGCCTACAATTATAAATT